CATTCTTGCCGACCATGCACATGGTCCGGGGTTCGATCCCCTGCCGACGCACAACTGATATCTATGGTCGGCCTGCAAAATTTCGGCTACCGATATCATATGCTGAGAATTCTATACTTGTACCAAAAATACTGTGTGGTTTCAAGCTATAATCAAAATAATAATAAAAAATTAAAAAATGTAGGCAGTCGCTAGTGAGCAGCAGAGATGAATTATAAAGTGGTGGTTTTCGTTGACTAGGTTAGTTGCAGTTTTTTTTATCACGAGGTGATATCGTGACCAGCGAGGTCCAACAAATCAAATAAGAGGACAGTTACCGATAGTATCGGCTGACGGCTGCTGACTGGCTGGCTGGATTCAATATAAAACTTGGCACCTAAGTGCAGCACTTCGAGTTGCCACGGTCCAAATACCACACAAAGGTAGACAAGAAGATGGATGAGTGAAGAGAATCAATCAATAGAGTTTTGACAAGTATAACAGAATGTGAAACAGAATGAGTAATGGTTGAAAGGAATATGAAAGATTACACAAGAGACTGAATACATCTGCGTAAGCCATTGACAACGATTTTGAGCCATGTCACACCTATTGTCTGCATACAGCCATTGATTCTTAGAGTCCCGAGGGCCGGCCCCAACCCGGAAGTCTGCATCTCCCTCCCTCCCTACCTGACTCAGTTTAACTGCCAAGGATTTCATGGATTGATGAGGCCATGTTTTTGTTTGGCATGGCACCACTTACTCTTTTCCAACCAACCTGCACCTATATATCAGCTAGTAATGCCCGTCGGGAGGGGGGAGGCGATGGTTAGGTATGCGCAGCACGTCACCTAGCCATCTCAGTCTACGTAAGTAACTTTATAGTCTCGTGGATTGATTTTCCCTCTTTGCCCAACACTCTACGCCTAACCTAACGTCAACATTACTTACCTTATGATACCACCGCCTAACGTGAGAAAGAGATCGTAGACATCTGTGGTCAAAAACAGTCAATCTTTTCATGTCTTCAACTCGTATTGGCCATGTTTCAGAGCCATAGAGAAGGACCTGACGGTTGCGGCATAGACTGCGAATCGGTGGAAGTTGGAATTCGTGGGCTATTGGGTTGGATCCTAGCGGTTGAGTAGTCTACAGGCTCACATTGTGACCAGAAGGTCCTAAGTTTGAAACTCCCCCCCAACCGCCTGTAGAGATGCGTCCCAAACTAGGATAAAACAATTGTTCAGTGCTCCCTAATTTTCCAGTGATTCTCCAAATGATATCAACTTGTTATCAAACCTCTAACCAATTAAATCTTTGCAAACCAACAACTGGAGATCTTCTGTTTGATCTGATATTGAACCTTTTGTGTTATAAGGCTTATTATGCTTTTATTGGTTGATAAATTTGTTCCATATGTGTTCATATGTGGATAAATTAACTGCTGATTAGTTTTGAGTGCCTCCTTTACCTACCTACCTACCTAGGAAGCATCGTTTCAACTACGGGCGGACGGAACTGACGAAGATATCAAAGCAGAAAGGATCTAGAAAGCAAGACAAGCTTTCATTACTCTCAAGTCTGTGTGGAGGTCAAGAGCACTCAGCATGAAAATGAAAATCAGATCCGGATTTTCAACTCCAATGCGAAGTCAGTCAGTGCTACTTGCTATACGGATAAGAGACTTGGCCAGTGCGTCATAAAGAGCACCTCAAACAAACTACAGACCTTCATCAACAGCTAGTTGTCTTTGCTCAGTACTAAAGATCAGATGACTGGGGAGAAAAGATCAGCAACAGGGATCTCTGGCGATGAGCGAACCATCCAGGAACCGATTGTGCAACAAATAAGCAGGAAGAAATGGAGATGGGATTGACCATACTCTAAGGAAACAAACCATCAAGTGACATCACTAGACAAGCCATTGCTCGAGTGGAACCCGAAAGGTGACTTGGAGGAGGTCATGTGAAGAGGAGATGAAAGCATGTAGGCAGACCTGTAGCAAGGTGGAAACCTTAGCAGAGAACCAAACGCAACGGAGACATGCAGCTGAAGTCCTATGTTCCTCTAGGAATTAAAGGAAATAATAATAAGTTTTAAGTGCCAGGCCTTTAGGAATTCTCTGGAACACTGTATGTTTTCATAACATTATGTCACTTGATGTTTCTTATCAACCACAAGCCACATGTTTTCTATTTTCTATTTCCTACTTGTTCTCTAACGAAATGCCAGTTTGTACAACAGAATTATCTCAGCTAGTGTTCAATGAATAAAAAGCTTCCTTTCTGCTGTTTCATACTTGTAAAATTTATAAGCTGGATCGTACTGGTTAGTGGAAATAGAGATTGACAACGTATACTTGCGTTGCTCGAAATCTTCTATCTATCTATCAACTCTCCGTCTGTACCCGGGTTTGGGACCCGGTAGAAAACTAGTGAGCTAGTGTATATTAGGCGAGGTTTTAATTCTTTATAGTATTTTCAAGAGATGGTTTTTAAGGATTTAGATTTGTTTTTACGAGTTCGACCACGCACGGATTGATATCAATCAGTTAGAGAAGCATTGAAAATCAGCCACAGGGAGTACTGCCAGACAAATGTTTCATCAGACTTTTTGGGAATCATTGGCAGTACGGACCTTCTGGTTACAAGGCTCGCCAGTGACTTGCTACAGGATGGAGTTTCCTGGAGTGAGTTCTAGTAAGAAGTCGTGTGACCAGTGAAGTCTAACCAGTAGTCAAGTGTGGGGATGGATGCCCCACCGATGACACTGGTTGGTGGTCGTGGCCTATTCTCTCCTCTGACTAACGCACGTACTTATGATGGCGCATTTCCGTAGTGAAATTCGCTCAACGTCTATGGAATCAGGTGTTGTGTTGAGTCTGTTGAGAAGTACGCGCCCATCACTCCATCGGTAATTGATCTCATCACCTCCAGTTCATTAGGTGATTCGAGGTGGTGATGCAATCTATCTGGTAGTCAATCAATCAACCATCAATCAATCACATCGCGTCAGAAGTGATCTCCCATAATTATTTACCAACCGGGTGTGAAGAACGCGTCACCTTCACCTTCACATATGAAACAACTTCATTCTCTTCTTGACTGGAGAAGCATCCATCAAGATATCTGCGTTTTCGTGCAGTTTGTTGTCATGAGGGTGAGTGTTCATTAGATGTGTGATGTTGTATTTCCTGGAGATGTCAGCTGTTTTTCTTCTTCTTCGTCTTATTCTTCTAATTTTCTGTTTCATTGCCTCAGCTTCATTTCGAGGACAAAAGCAGAAGTGCAGACTGGAACTGAGAAATGTATCTCAGTTACTTTCAACTCTCTCTCTTTGTCCACTGGATTTTCCTTTCACATTCTGGATGATTTATTGTTGTGGTGCTCTATTTGACCAAACTAGCGTTAATGTAGTACTTCCTAGTACTTCATCGCGTTCATTAATTTTTCCTAACTTTGTGATCACTCGACATCCACATCGTAAATCGAAAGGCATTTGAGAAGGAGTACGAAGGTGTATTATCGCAGTAATCAAAATTCAAAAGTTGAGCAAGTACAATTTATCAATTGTTTAATCGCAATCTTTAGATTGATAAACAAATCAAAGTTCAATTACATAGTGAAAGTATACTACGATGATGAATGATAAAATGGGTCACTACAATATCCTTATTTACTAATAATATCTGTGTGCTTTCCTATCCTTAAATATCTTGTGATTGTAATTGATTGCTGGAAAGAAGAAGTATATTATTATTATTGTTCCCTTGGGTTCTTAGTGGAACACAGAGCTTCAACTGCACGTCTCCACTTGCTTCTGTCTTCTGCTGTACTTTCCACCTGGATCCATGTTAGTCCATACTGTTTCAACTCTTCTTCACACGATCTCCTCCATGTCACCCTTGCACTGACGACCAACTCGCCACTTCCCTTTCGGGTTCCACTCCATCGTTGGCCTGACGTGCGATGTCACCCAGCGAGTGGCCTCCTCAGCGAGTGTCCAATCCATCTCCAGTCTCTCCTGCATATTTGTTGAGCGATTGGTTCCTGTTTTGTTTGTTCCCATAGTTTCTTGTTGGTTCTTGTTCTTTCGTTGGCCATCTCATCTTCAGTATAGAGCCAGAGAAGACAGTTGTTGCTGTTGTTGATAAAGGGTCTGCAACAGGCTGTTGGAAATGTTCTTTGTGACCCGCCGCCAAGTTTCTGATCCGTACGTATAGAAGAATTGACTGACTTGACGTTTGTATTGAAAATCCGAATTTTGTTGTTGAGTGTTGCTGAGTGACGAATATTTTCAGATTGTTTTCAGGTTGATGAATGTGTTTCTCGCCTTCCCCAAAACTTAACCAAACTGCTATAAAAACTCCAACGCACAAATATATTAAAAATTCTACAAATACAAACAATAACCGTATTATTCGCTTGAATCGGGGAAGTGAAATGACGCAGGCTGGTGAAAGCCTTCGGAAAGAAGAAGTAGTGTTTCTAAATCAATTGTTTTCTCACCGTTGTTCTGAAGTACACAATTACTTTTACAAATTTGACCACGCACGGATTGATATCAGATAGAGAACCACTGAAAACCCGACTGGGATTACTGGACAGCTGTTTCATCAGCCTAGTTTGGAAAATCATCAAATCCTTACAAACCAAAACTATAGAAAATTAATCTGATGCTCGCTAGTGAGTGACTTGCTGCTACAGGACGGAGTTTCCTGGAGTCAGTCCCAGTGAGAAGTCGTATGACCAGTGAGGTCTAACCAAGTAGTCAAGTGTAAGGATGGATGCCCCACCGATGACCACTGATTGGTTGGTGCCAGTCGCGCTAAATGCATCACCAATTTGGTAGAAGTAGTTAGAATTCATGCGCTGGCTGGCTGGCCATTGAATCTGGCGATGGTCCCTGTGAGTGGTGGCTGAATGGTATACGATCTTTATAGTATTATTTACTTGTTAATCTATTATACCCTTTCCTAACTTGTTCTTTCTTTGTTTCTTTTCTTTTAATACCATCCAGCTTAGTTTAAAGTCATTACTTCAATCAGAAATGAACAAACATTATGATTTATACAGGCTTTTAAGCATTATAGGACAGTTTGAAAAGCTGCAGTTACCAGATTTGGGCATAGATGAAGCCTACGCTAAATCGTTGCATCATTTTGGTCAATTGATTGATCAAGTTGGCAAAGATTATAGTAAATTCAAGGAATCGCCACCTATTGGACGTGATATGCCACCGATTGCAGGTTTGTTTGTTTTGTTAATGTCTGACTTCCTTTTTTGTTTTTGGTTCCTCCTTCTTTTGGTATTTTATCAGGGCCAAGTTAAACTTTAGACACCAGTAACTACCAATCAGCGAACGACGTCGAATTATCCAATGAGATTCACGAACGTAGTTCAATATTGTATAGCGCTTGATTCATTTCAAATGCGTGCCCTTACAAGGTTACGTTTACAATTCAAGGAGGATAGTGTCTTTCAGTATTGCCTGGACTTAGGCTTGCTTCGAAAGGAGAGAAGTTGTTCGTGTGGTGGTGTAATGACTCTAAAAAGCTATACCAGGTCAACTGATGGATTTGTCCATCGTTGTGGAATATGCTGGAAGCGAGTTAGTATTAGAGAGGGTATGCTGCTAATTTTAATATTTCGTAGGAACTTTTTTTGCTAGGTCGCATCTCTCCCTAACCCAGATTTTGTATATCTGCAACTACTGGGTATTGAAACAGCCGGTGAGAGCCGCAGCTGCCGAGACGGAGAACAGCCTCGTCTCAACAGTTCAGTGGTACCAGCATTGCAGAGACATCGCCTCATGGAAACTGGAGAGAATTACTTAGTTGTTAGGCGGGGACGACGTAGTAGTGCATGTGGATGAGACAGCGTTGGTGAAGAAGAAATACAACCGTGGTCGTCAGAGAGCGAACAACATTTGGGTCATAGGTTTATAAGACACGTCCCTCCGAAAAGGATTTGTTGAAAGAATAGCAGACAGGAAGGCGACTACTCTGACACCTATTATAACGCGGCTTGTCAAACGGGGATCAATTGTACATACCGACAAGTGGAAAGGTTACATTTAATTGTCATCCCTGGGATACATTCATCACAGAGTGAACCACTCCAGTGATTTCGTGGATCCAGTTACAGGGACTCTTACAAATTCCATTGAAGGATTTTAGGGTCGATGGAAGAATAGGATACGGGCTATAAATGGATCACAAAAGGATCTCATTTATAGTCATTTAGATGAATATATGTATAGAATGTGGTGTGACTTCTCTATTGACAGTCCCATGCTGAATTGGGAGATGTTTCTGTCCCATGTTCGGGAAAGATACCCATTGTAACCGTTTTATCCTTTTTTTTATGCATTTTTCTATAAATATACGTTTCCACTTATCATAAACGCCTCTTTCATGTGATTGGTCCGTTCAAGGTCGTTTGCTGATTGGTTGTTACTGGTGTCGAAAGTTTAACTTTGCATTTATCAGCATTACTATCAAAATTTTCTCCCGAAATGTTTTATATTTCAATAAAACTTATCGATCTACACTTATATATACAATAATATAAGCTGCAAATTATATATATTTTGTTTTGAATAAGCAGAAATAGAGAAATTTATGACACGTAGGTCCAAGGCTTCCTCTGGCCGATTGCCTCATCAAATCAATGTGTGCACCGTGATGGTGAGCCAGCCATCTAGTGGCATGGTGGCCACATTGCAAACCTGACTGACTGACTGATAGAATGTTCTCGAGCACGAAAAATCAATTTCCTAGAGCAACGGCCGATATAACTCGCTCGCGCTCCAGAACATCTCCCAGTATGGCTAAGTAAAGGTGTAGTGAAAACCATCATCAACAGTTCGATATTGGACCATCTGGTGCAAACCGGCTGGCCGGCCACAAAGCCAGTCAGCCAGTCAGTATTGAAGAATCCTTCTCTATCATCATCTACCGGGTGCCTAATAAATTGCCAAAATCATCATGGAAGCACCACATGCTCCAAACAGCAGAGGCTATTGCAATTCGCGTGAAATAACCATTGCTTTGTGTGGAGAAGAAGCAAATCCAGCCAGCCACTACTACTGCCCTGGTTGGCCTTCAGTAGAGATTATATATTCATGAATTTGTATTACTATCTTTCCTAATGTGTTTTCTGACATTCAGTTTATTGTTATGTTGATGCTATTGAACTGTAATCCACTGGTATTATTATTATTATTGATTTGGTGTTATTTAAACAGCAACATTCATGTTGTTGTTCATAACACTAATTCATTTGATAGTGTCGAAAATTCCCATATTATGAATTAAAAGTCAATCTGAACGAAGAATATTCTTTTCAATAATTTCTCTTCAGGTTCTTACAATTATAAAATATAATATTTGTTGTCGTTACAATAAGGCCAGTTATGCGGCAGATACATTTTTAACGTAGAATAACAGATTAGTTATGGGGTGTCAAAATAAATAGTCGTATTTGTGTGACAAACGTGCTAGGCTGAATTCGATTACAAAATAATGTAAAACGGGAGACAATGGTGATTAATCATAATAGATTTGTAGAGTGGGGGTAGGAAAATTGACAAGTCAGTTCAAGGTTATAAAAGGTGTCAGGTGAGTGGCTAGTACAAAGTGGTCTGTGTTAAACAGGAGATAGTAAGACTGCATTGGGAGGTTCATAATGAGATAACGAATATGTGAAATGAAACAGGTGGAGGCATATATTGAGAAAAGAGATAATATCACTAATAATAAGTCCGGATAGTATAAACGAAAAAAAAAATTCGATAGTATTGAGAGAATGTTTGCATGAAGGGCATAAATTATGACGAATAATGATAATATTAATAATAATAATAATAGTAATAATTGTAATAATAAGCAAAAAAAAAAAAAAAAGCCAAGAGGGTTAAGGGGAAGGAGCACTCTTGGTGAGAAGAAGAATCATCAATCCAAGTTTGGCCACGGTAGGAACAGCGTCTGGACGTGTTCTTTTTGGATACAAAGTTCCGGTTTAGTCGATCTTATTGCAACAGCTTCAGCTATGTGTAGAAGACGTAAGCGAACTGTACGTGATAACGACTTCGGAATTCGGTATATAACCCTGAAAGCTGTGTTGACATCGATATGATGTCCAGTATCGACCAAGTGTGACAGGATCGAGCTTTTTATGCACTTAATTTCCCCTCTGCTGAACCAAGCTGGTATATGTTCTCGAACCCGTAGACGAACCTGCCTAATCGTGCGCCCTATATAACTTGAACCACAGGAACAGTTGAAATGGTATATGCATGAAGAAGAGCTAAGATTAGGTAAAACATCTTTGAGTTGCTGGGTGAACATTGGACGGCTACTGAAGGATAGACACAGACGTGCAGAGTAGAAAGTTTTCTTGATCGCCCTGGTTAAACGTTGCGATAGAATCTCCGCAGGAGTATCTCCCTTGAATTGGAGACGTAAAAACAGAGGCTTTTTCTCCACCGTTGTCAGTTCATGTTTACGGCTATTGTAACCTATGTTTGCTTTAATGAACTTCTCTGGATATCCGTTCTCACTTAGAATGTCTCGGATGACCTGGAGTTCTTTCTCTACACAGTCTTCGGAACAAATCGACCTTGCTCTAAATGCTAAGCATCTGATCAGATTGCGTTTGTATTTCATCGGTACAAAGCTAAGGAAGTGTGTATACTGAGCTTTGGTCTCTAGCTTTCTAAATATGGTTCTTTTGACGGAACCATCCTCTCTTCTCGTTAGTAGGACGTCGAGGAAGTGTAGAGAGTCGTTGCATTCTCCTTCGTAGGTGAAATGGACCGCTGGGTGAGCATTATTGAAGTTGCTCAAAATCAAATCACTACTTAACCCTTCATCGTACACTACAAAAGTGTCATCCATGTAACGACAATACATTTCCATATTTGCTATTTCCTCTTTCAACGGACTATTTTCTAGTTTTGCTAGAAATATATTCGCGAAAATAGGTCCCAGTGGGGATCCCATGGCTACTCCATCAATCTGTCTGTATATTTCATTATTAAACAAGAACTGAACATTTGCTGTACATTTAGCAAGTAGTTGTTTCAGATTACTAATCGGAATATCAGTGCACAATTTCTTTTCTATAATCTGTTCGCAGATATAGTCGATGGTTTCCACTAGAGGCACATTAGTGAATAGAGATGAGACATCAAGTGATGCCATGTATTTGCCAGTTGTGTTCAAGTTTTTGATCTTATCAATAAATTGAAAGGTATCCTTGACGCTATGCTTTACTAATTCGTCATGCAAGGGTTGAAGTAGCTGTACCAGCCACTTCGCTGTCTCGTGATAGGGTGAATGAGACATGTCTAGTATGGGGCGTAGGGGTACTCCTGATTTATGCACTTTCGGTAGACCATACATGCGTGAGATGGTGCTACCTGTGGGTTTTATGTTTTCGAAAGTCTTTGGTGATATATACCCCTTACTCTTCAAATCCTTTAATAAGTTTGTTATTTCTTTCTCTACTTTCTCCGTGTGATCTTTCATTGCTTTCGGCTTCTGAAACTTGCTGCCGTCAGCTAGTATGGAGTTCATCTTGTTGATGTAGTCCTGCCTATCCATAATGACTATCCCCGGTCCCTTATCCGGTCTCGTAATAACTATGCTTTCATTTCGTCTTAGTTTTTTAACAGCTTCTCGATGTGCTTTTGTGAGTATACTATGGGGCTTATTCTTGTCCTTCTGTCTATACTGATAGCAACAGTCTACCAGGATTGATTTGAATCTTTCTAGGTCCTCATCAGAGGAGGCGACCAAGTCCCCTGTTTGTATATAGAAGTTCTCGAACTGTACATCGGTGTCAATCTGACTAATCTCCGTACGAAAATCGCAAAACTTAGGTCCTAGAGATAACGCTTCAAGTTGTAGTTTGTCAAGAGTCACACTAGAAAAGTTATGCACGTACCTTTCGGGATTAGCAGGAAATCTACATTCGGGAGTTCGGCTTTCTAAGCCTTTCATAAGTTGTGTTCGTTTTTTCGAGGAATTTGATTCGGCGATTTCATCGACATATTCCATAAATTGTAGTCTCATATCCTCTGGAAGGTCGAGAAGTGCATAATTCCGTTGTGATATATTTAATTCCAGTTGTGTGATGTCAGACTGTATTGATTCAAGCTGATTAAGAGCATGTCGTTTCAAAGTCACTTTACTTTGTGGTATTCTGTTTCTACGTAATGATTTCCAATAGAGTTTAGGATATC